AATATAAGTACAGACCCTGCAGAACTCAGCCATGCCTGCCTACACAGGAACAGTTTGCAAAGGACCAGAGACATAAGTAGTGTCTATCTTGCCCCCAAAACTCTCTGCCCTTTAACTGCCTGTTGTTGTAGGAGACAGGCTATTTGTTGCCATTTGATACCTATTCCCATCTAAATTCAGCTGGTGCTCTCCAGTCCAGAAGGAATGCAGTTAAGGAGACTGTGTTATACATGCTCTCATCTCCCCTTAACCAGACACTTTCTCTGAACTCTGATATCATTGACATAGGCTTGGCTCAGGGCATTTGGCCAGGGTTCTCCACACCACTTCCCCAAAAAAGTGTCAGTCTTAGTTCCTGAAGAACTGCTTCTAGAGGGACACTGAGAGCAGATGGGAATGCCCAGTTATAGGGTTAGCTATAGATTTCTTAGCCAAAACCTATACAAATGCTGAATTTAATACTCCTTAACAGAGAGGCAGCCTCCACCTCCCTACCCCCAACCTCATGAAGTAAAGTTCTTTCTGCAAGGGTGGAATTCTTGTGGTCTAAGTTTATAGATGTATCATTTAAAAAGGGGTTCTGTGAGTGGGAAAGGTCAATAAAAAATATTTTTCCATCAAAACAATGCTACCACCAAAACCAGATAAAGACAACACAATGAAAGAGAATTACAGGCCATATCCCTCATGAACATAGATGCAAAATCCTCAACAAAATTCTAGCAAATCGAATCCAGCATTACATCAAAAAAATCATACACCATGACCAAGTAGAATTTATCCCAGGGATGCAAGGATAGTATAACATCCACAAATCAATAAATGTGATACATCACATAAACAAATTGAGAGGTAAAAATCACAGAGTCATATCAATTGATGCAGAAAAAGCAATTGACAAAATCCAACACACTTTCTTGATAAAAACCCTCAGCAAAATGGGAATAGAGGGATCATACCTCAACATAATAAAAGCCTTATATGACAAACCTATAGCCAACATCATAATCAATGGGAAAAAATTAAAACCATTTCCCCTAAGAACAGGAATGAGACAGGGATGCCGACTTTCACCACTCCTGTTCAACATAGTACTGGAAGTGCTAGCCATAGCAATTAGACAAGAAGAAGAAATAAAAGGTATCCAAATTGGAAAAGAAGAAGTAAAACTGTCATTATTCACGGATGACATGATATTGTACATAGGAAACCCTAAAGACTCCATCAAAAAAATTATTAGACTTAATAAATGAATTCGGCAATGTAGCAGGATACAAAATTAACACCAAGAAATCTATGACATTTTTATACACCAATAGTGAACTTACAGAAAGAGAAATTTTAAAAAAATCCCATTTACCATCGCACCAAAAAATTAAGATACCTAGAAATAAACTTAACTAAGGAGGTAAAAGACCCATACTCGGAAAACTACAGGACACTGAAAAAAGAGATAGAGGAAGACGTAAACAGATGGAAGAACATACCGTGTTCATGGATTGGTAGAACCGACATCATTAAAATGACCATACTACACAAAGCAATCTGTAGATTCAATGCACTCCCCATTAAAATACCAACAGCATATTTTACAGACCTAGAACGAACTCTCCAAAAATTCATCTGGAATTAAAAAAGACCCCGAATAGCTGCAGCAATCCTGAGAAATAAGAACAAAGTAGGAGGGATCACAATACCAGATATCAAGCTATATTACAAAGCCACTGTTCTCAAAATTGCCTGG